ATAAAAAGGCACGAAGCTATAAGATCTATGTTCCATAACTGCGGAAGCAGAGCTTGCCAAGCAAGTTTATCCATCAAGCTTTTCAGATATGCACACCAAGTACTAAGAGTCCTGTTTTAAAGGCAAAAGATAAAGTATGTGGTTAAGTAGGATACGAGAACTGAAGTGGCCCTTTTAAGACAGAGCAGACGTTAAATGTTCAGGGACTTGATAATGCTTTCGTATAGTCCCACATCCAGCATTCAGTTTCGTAATGGGATTGAGGTGCAGATTAAACCCAATCTGTCAGTCTGCTCCATTCCAATTAACATGCTAACTTTGCAAAACCAAACTTCAGACCTTTCCTAATCTTGTTAGGACAAGTATTCCTGGTCTAAAAAGAATGTCCTACACTAACAGGCTAATAACTGAATCTTTTTAGTCATGAACTGAAAAAACTAGAGAGGGCATGATTTAAGTAATCAAAAGGCTCAATGGCACTGACAGTCAACCCTACGACCTACTGTACTTCAGGACCAATAGTGAAAAATAAACTTCAGGGCACAAGCGGAAAATATGTGGAAGAGCTTTGAAAACTGAGAACAAGAAGCACTTTTTTTACACAAAAGGCTGTGGGTGTCTAAAATAAGTTAGCCAGTCGTGATTTTAAAGCCGACACCGTGATGCAAGCAGTCTGTATACAGATGACATCCTCAGACTAGTTACTCAGAAATTTAACCAGAGTTTGAGTTAGAAATCCTTAACGTTGCTGGGACAGAATGTTAAAATAAAACAACTGTGCAACTCTCAACCTGGTAACCCTCAGAAAAACAATCTGTAATGGCCAGTATTATTTGCCTTGTCTGTCATTGAACATTTATTATACACTACACAGAAAATTTGCAATAGCAAATGTTGAGAAATATTTTAAAGAAATGCGGAAACCCAGAAAAATGTTTTGAGAAAGATTTGAGTAAATCAATGTGTTCAACACACCCAACTTATGGTGAAATCCCCATTGACTTCCAACATGGTTTTAGAAAGGCAAAAAAAACTTCTGTTTTTCTTCCTAGAATATAACTCTGATTATGTTTTAGTTTGGCTGCATTGGTACAATCCTGCATCTGGACATGAGAAAGGACGGTGGTTAAATCAAGTATTTTACAGCAAAATGACCGTGCTGCAACCTGCGCTGTATGTGCTGCCATGGGCATCTGTAATCCCTGAGAGATTATTTCTGCTGCTTATATTTTGTATAATATTATTATTATTATTTCTTTATTAGCCCTATACAATTTCTTGCATTAGGAATTTGTCTTTTCGCATACCCCAGCCTTTTCTCCATGGAGACATAGACACACAGACAGGGAGAGAAGCTTGGGGTCAGAGCGCAGGGTCTGCCATCGTACGGCACCCCTGGAGCAGTTAGGGTTAAGGGCCTTGCTCAGGGGCCCAACGGAGTAGGATTCCTCTGCTGTTACATATATACATATACTGGTGAACATGTATATCAATTAATTTACATCGATTTAAACAGACTTGTAAAAACATTCACTTATTTTACCAAGTTTACATAGGTATTAGTCACCCTAGATAAGGCTGTAATAAAAACAATATAATAAATATTTAAATTATCTATGTAATCAATTCTCTGTACATTATAACGCACTATAACCCAGTAAATCCCCCGCTGATATGGGCTCTTCATAATTTAGAATCAGCAAATCATAAACTTTCTTTCAAAACAAGAGGTAAGCCAACAGATACAGTATATCAACATCTGCGTAACCTAACATCTTTAGTGTGTTCCACCACTTTAGTAGTAACTGTGAGTTACCCGAGTACAAGAAATTGAAATTCTGACAACCAACATTGTATTTAACATGACCCCTGGGTTTTTGTTGGCAGCATAAAAGTTGTCTAATTGACAAGAGAGGTCAGTTACGCATGGAAGATGTTCATTCGTCTTAAATGCTCATTCAAGAACTGTATTTAATTTTATTTTTTTCACTTCCATAAAGGTAAGGTGTAACAAATGGATGTACAAGTTGCAGTATGACGAATCAGCAAAGACAGACACACAAGAAAGACTATTGTCATATTTCCACCTGCCCCTTCTCTGGGGCAACTCACATCAGTAGACAGAGAGCTTTGTGAGATCTAGGTGCTTCCAGATTTTTTTACCGTGTCACAGAGGTTTGTTCTAAACTATTAAAAGTGACAATTGATGCATTTCACAAAACACCTAATGCCTGGACTTGTTTTTAAGTTCGTAATGGAGCAGAAATCGTCTTTGCACACACTTGCCTGAAAATATTCTTCCAAAATAGGTGAACCTATATTACAATTTTCTGTCACTATCCAACGCATCAGTGATTTACACCAATGCCATCTGATCTGTTTGCCTAGTATATCAGTTGTAAAACAACTCTTCTTCTATTCAAAATCACCAGTGCTTCACACCCAAAACGTAAGATGATCTATTCCTAAAAAACTTCCTGCTGCAAACTAGGCCAATCTTCCTAACCAGTATGAATGCTCTTTACCTAAGAGTCTTTGTAGCTGCAATGATCTGTGGCATTATTCATCACTAAACACTTATTTCCTTCATGCTTTAACACTTTATAGTAAATAATTACAAAAAATTATGCCGATTATAGTCATCAATCTATTTTTCCAAACAGACAGAATTTTTCTACATATAGAATTTCTTAGGGCATGCCTATTATACACTGAGAATTACAGCCAGATTTTAAGATGCTTCATTTATTGCGATACCTCTGAAAACTTCTCATTAGCTTGTCATGGATCTCCACATGCTACATTTTAAGGAGTATTATAAGTTTTATCAGCATATCCACCTTTGAAAAACACTTCTCCACGTCACATTTTGGATTCTTGAATGCACTCTATGTTTAAGGATGTTTTTCCATATTTTCTTTTTTGCAAAGTTTCACATCTCACTTGCTCGTCTCTCATTTCTCACCTTTTCTACTTCCTGAAGAGCCATGATGATTGTAACAGTTTCTATCAAGTAACAGTTAACACTTGTAATCACAACAACTGTCACCTGCTAGCCTACATTGACCAGTTACTGAAAACTTAATTTAACAAAAGGCAGACCTATAAATAATGTGCTAAAGACGCTCTTCCTCTTTGACTCAATGTTTTAGAAGGTTCATATATTCCTGTTTTTCCCCTCAACTTTTAAAATTTGGTATGTCACATAAGTCTTACAATACAAATGCAGACCAGAGGTAAAATTGCATGTAGATGCACTACAATATTCTAATGCTATAAGTAAGTTAAAGATTTGATTATATTTTAATACAAAGATAGATATTATATTATGCATAGTCTGCCTATATTTTCAACACGCAGGTTAAATAATGGAGATGAACGATGAGAAAGCACAGATCAGTTTAAAATCAACACATCTAAAGAAGAATTTTATACATGGGACTATATATGATGCAACCCTTGCCAGGAAAAAAATCGACTCAAAATGTAACTGAAGGAAACACAGCATACAAACAATCCCATCTTTAGTGGTTTAAACCACTGCAAGCTCTTTTTCCATGCCCATTCAAAACTCTGAAATTACATAAGAAATTGAGAGTATTTATGCGACGCCCTTAGTTACACTGCAGGAGCCATGAATCTGTGGCTCTTCAGAGCAAGATGGTCTGTCTTCGGTCTTGGTTACTAATTAATCCTGTACCACAGTTACCAGTGCAAAGCAATCTCCTATTTAAAAGACAAAATGACAACCTAACAAGCAGCAACAAGCCTGCTGGACAACCAGTTGGGTAAGCTAAATTACCTAACCTTTATTGATATTTTTAATGCCTGATTGCCTTTAAGACACTACAGGATAAGAACATACATTGTGCAGGAAAATTACAGAAACACCTAGACACTTGACCATTCTTTTACCTTCATAGAACTGCTGAAATTACTACACATAGTGCATTTCAATATTTCTAGCGTATTAGTTTGCACAAAGTAGAGCTTTTAAAAATTTAATATAGCAAAGGGATTATATATCTACAGAACTTAGAAGGGGGGATAATCTTAATATTTAAACAAGAGAACTACACGCCCTCACCATCCCCTCTCAATACAAGTTTAACTGTAATAACTCAGTTTTAACAGAAGCACCATGTACCGAATGCTAATAAAGTTTGTTTTCCAGGTGTAATTAAGAAAAACAATTAAAAAATGTAATACATGTTTCCCCCCTTAATATTATATGCCACCTTGATTAACCTGTTCGAGCATGATTTTTCAAAAACTTATGACATGCTTCTTGAAAAGTTTAGGTCTCACTTTCAGCACTGTTATTTCCAGAATATGAAGAGACAAAATGTATAGTAAAAAGCGCACTGGTATAAAATGTTTATTTAAATGTTTTCACTGATCAAAGGCACATAATTGTTCCTAGATTGACTTGTTAAGAAACATGGTCTGGCGCAGAATATCATAATGACTAGTCACTGTTGTGTGCAGTGTTCATCTTGCCACCATCACTAAACTCAGCAAGCACCTCCCAGGAAACATCTGTCCAGACTCAGATAACCAGGTTATGAGTGTGTGACTACCTCAGGAGTGAGCTCAGCACAAAAAACACTTAACTGCAATCATGGATTATCCAAACGCCTGGGTGCAATCACTAAATCACCTACGTAGACATGAGATGGAAAAAAAAACCCTCAATCCTACACAGTCAGGATTGGTTAAAGGTGGCCTTGCTTGAAGGCTACCACTTAAAATCACAGACTGCATCATACCTGCATGCAATGGAACACAGACGAGAATCACTCACTGCACCATAAGTACACTGTGACATGGTACCTCTTGACTTCCATATTAACATGTTTTAAGAAATGTTAAAGGACAGGTTTATAACATTGTAATATCCTTTATGGTACCTGGGATGAAAAGCGAACACAACTCCCCAAAGTAAGATGCAGCATTCACAGACAAAATCCTTAATTACAACAAAAAGAAGCAAGACTTACCACCAAAATTCGCAAGTCTCCCGATTCTAGTAACTGGCACCTTTCGCTCTCGTGCCCTTTCGCTGAGCTGAAATCAAGCACAAAATAAGAGAACTGATACATTCCCCTGGTGCTGGAGAGGAGCCAGTACATTAGAGGCAGCATATACAGTATAAAGCCCTGCCACAAAGGTATTTAACATGTTCTTGTAGCCAAATTTCAGATTCTTCCAGGGTTTTATAGACAACCCTTAAATCATCACAATCCCTAGTACTCTGATTTTGTATTGATCACTAAAGCCGGGAATTTATTCGATTATGTAGTTCACAGATCATTTGAAATCCAAATCTATTACTTAATTAAACCAATAAACTCATCAAATCACAGTAGTTCTAAATATTCATAAATTGATGATTAAAGGTTTGTATATGACCTGCTGAATTTTAGCTGTTTAGGACCAGTGTTGACCACTCCAATCTAAAAGCTAAAAGCTTAAAATCTGCCATTAAACTGTAACTGTAACAACCCTGAGACAATGTTTCTATTCCTACACAAAAGAGCAGACCAGGTAGACTGGAAAGAACATTTTACTCTAATTATGGTTGAACCACTGATCCCGAAACAACCGTTAAAAAATTAACTAAACCAATTCAACAAATACACACAAAAGGAAGAGAAAAACTTCTCATAGGCTGCCAGTCTCTGTAGAAAACAGAGCTAAATAGAAGCCAGCCAGCAATGAAGACAACACATGAATGCCAACAAACACATATGAAAAGGGTAAAATAACATATTCAATTTCCTTAAATGTCTGAGCAATTTTAGAGACATCTTCAACAAACTCTTTATAATTATACTATAATTCACAGAAATATTTACTTTCTAACTCAAAAGGGCAGCTTTCCAATAAGAACCCCACAGCTAAAACACAGTGCAGATTAATACATAAACGTTTTGAAACCATTAGGCCACAAGGGCACGATCACATTAAAAAGCCACTGCGGAGAAGAAACGCGTATACCATTTGTTTGTGGGGCTTAGAGCTGTTTCTTTTGGCCTCCCTGGCCTTATCAATGTCCTCCGCTGTAAGCCCACTAACTGAGGAGTGGTCCTGGTGGAATGAGCGAGACTGCCCCGTAAACTGCCCGTTTGGGGTCTTGTAGCTCCCAAAGACTCCGCCGTTTGACTTCTCCGAAACATGGCTGTACATCCGTGGCCCTCCGCTGCTGGTGCTCTCTGAGGAGATGTGGTCGCTGACGGGCGCATCGTCTCTGTTCGAAAAGCCTTGCCTTGACGAGTCGGCAACGTTCTCCTCGGTACCAGAAAAATCATAACGGGAGTCAAATTCTGGTCCAATATCTGACATGTTCTGCTGCTGGCTGCCAAACTCCTGAAACGAACCATTACGAAACTAGATTAATTCATTAGGTTTTTATAGTTTTTCTTCACTGAAAGCCTGGGATCAAAGCAGGTCATCCAGGGCATAGGTAAAGAGGTTCTTATTATCTCAATAATTATTTCCCAACTCAATTTATTTGACCCGACTGGACAAGAATTCAAATTCTAACATCACAACATTCTGGACAGATAGAACCTTAATAAAAAGAATATTTTATAAATGTTATCTTAACAAGACATTTTAAGAAGTGAGATTGGATGTTCTTTTTTTGTGTATCAAGGACGGGAATGGTTTTATTCAGTATTTATCATGGAAAGCAAGGGAGGTCTAACCGATTGTAATTTCTACAGTGTAATCTTTGGAAAGACAATACGTGCATTATTTGCCAAGGAAAGGTTTGCGCAAGTGAAAACAGACCAGAGTTTATTGTGAAACAGGTTTTTTATCCACACTAAAGAAGAATCCTTTATTTGAGCCAAGTGACAGTAAGCATTCGAATGACTGCGTATGGCAATGTGTTGAGAAATGGCTTATCATAAGCAGGGGACTTCTGCCGTCCTGCAGTCAAATGCCCAAGCTGAAGTACAGCTGTCTTGTATCTGTTCATTACTATACCAGTTATCCTTTTCACTCAGCTGTCATGCAACATACCAAACTCCTCTTTAGCTCTAAATACATGGTGCCAATTGGGCCTTTATTTATACACTAGTTTAGACAACTGTTTTATATGCTGGTCTAGTATCATGCTATCTTGAGATGTAAACACCAATTCCACAGTGAGTGGCATCACATTGTGAACATCTCAAGGCGATCAAATCTCTAAAGGTTTTGAAGAAAGAACTGGAATACCTATTAATGTGGAATAAGACAAAATACCACCAGAAAGTATCTAATTATCCAATCTGGCTATTAAAAGTGTCAAGCAATGAAAACTTATATCGCTGTTTAAGTATAACAACCATCTCAAAGTGCAGTATATTAAGAACAATTCAAATACAGTGAAGAATATCAAAGCCAACTAACAGATAAAAGAAAAAAAAGGGCAAAAAATAATAATTCCAAAAAAGCCAGTTAGAAAAACTGACAGTTCTACCCACTTCTGCACATGAAACAGGAGCATGAAAGGCTTGACAACTGTGTATAAAAAGTTAGTTGCCTACAATAACGTCGGTCTCACCCACTGAGGTCACACTTTTCAGTTCATGACGCACCTGCATCTTCTGCATCGTAGCACTGAGGCCCTGCTCTGCCGTGGCCTGCATGCTCCTGGCTGCGGCCAGCGGCCCTTCGGACCCGGCGATGCCGCGCAGGTTACTGGCCTGCGTCTCGATCACGGCTTTGCCGAGCCTGGCGAGCCCCTTCATCAGCAGGATCATGTCGCTGGCCATGATGGTCTTCTTTCACACCTGCAACACAACGGGTCAGAACGTGAGCCCTGGCGAGGCCACCTGGAGATGAAGAAGTGAAAGCCAAAACACGCCGTCCTCTTTCTCCCCACTACCACTCACTGCCTCAGCACGTGGTAGCGCTGGCGGGGCCAAGAAACGACATCCGCGAGAGCACGCCAGCTACGTCAACACTACTGACCAGTCCTTGAGAAAGAGAACATAAGTAGACACATTCGCATTTGTAAGGGAGACCAAGAAACTCAGTTAGGACAACAGAAGTTGTGTACACAGTTGTGTACAGGTCGGACAGGCCACCTAGCCAAACAAATGCTGGAAAGCCAACAAAACATTTACAAGAATCTAAAATGAAGTTGTGTTTTGTAGTAAAACACCCGCAAACTCATTTGCCAGCCATTAGCCACAATGGTACGTACAGTAATTGTATGGCTCTCAAGTCTCACATACCGGGACCAGATCTCACAGTCTCATGCCTTGATCTGAAAACCTCACACATTTGCATTAGGTCTAGGTTGATTAAAAAAAAATAAGCAATGCAAGTACAATTTTGAATTGTTGTCGAGACTCGCGATTCCCTTAATTAACCAATGCGTTTTTTGCACGCACATAAAAGAAACCCATCAATACAAATTATGTGTAATGGTAGTTTTCAATGGATTCGCTGGACTTCATTGGGGTGAAGACACTGAAAAGAATGCAGGGTTTCCCTGCAGCTATTATGAGGCCACAGATAAATAGTGTCCATTTTTCACTTACCACTTAAATTTTCCCCAAAAAAGAGCGCAAAATATTAAACAGCACTCAATTGCAAAAAGAATACAATGATGGCGTGTGCGGTACTTGTGAAAAAAATCCAGAACATCCATTTATGTTCTCACTGCTTTATCCAATACAGGATCAAGGGGAGTTGGAGCCTATGCTGGAAAGCAAAGTGTGTAAGAAGGGATACACACTCACCCCAGGGCCAGTTCTCCCAGAACCCAATTATCCTATCAGTATGTCTTTAGAGTGGGGGAGAAAACTGGAGGACCACAAACAAGCTCCAAGCAGACAGCACCCCAGGATTGGAAACAAACCCAGAGCACCAGCATGGAGCAAGGCTAGCTACCAAGCCACCATGCTGCCCTTTTACAGAACATTCAAAACCTATTAAAGCTGGCACATTTAAGCCAATATTGAGTTGGACTGGCTCTACATAAAAGCCTCCGTTATTTAGCTAGATTATGATGATTAGTGCTGTATATATTCTTGGTGATACAAAATAAACCAGTGTAAAATGATACTGCTACTATCCTATTGTAGAACAGAATCCTATTTATGTGCAATATTTGTTTGATTTTATAAAACAAATTAAAAAGGTTCTTAAGTATATGTTTGCCTTTGTTGCTTTTTGTAAACACTTACAGTCCATGCTTGCATTACTTTGGGAGAGTTAAAAATGAAACCCCTTTCATATGCTTGCTCAGCTTTCTGACTTTTTGTTTTCTTCTGTCTCATGTCATTCGATTGTTTCTCCCCTATTCTTTTTTCACCCAAATTTCACACATGGCTTTGGATTTTCACTTACATTGCTGAAACCGAAATGTCATTGAAGGTTACTGCTGTGAAACCAAACAGACTTTTTTGTTTAATATTTTCAGAGATTACAGAAAGCCAAAGTACCAAACGCTGTAGCAGGAGTTATTGTTATATGTTATTTTTTTACTTATTCCCTTATAATAAAGAGATGTCAAATCTGGCCATTCTGACTGTGGCTTTCCAGTGCAACAACTCAGGTTAAAGTTCTTCAAATCTTGGAATCTTCAAATCAAATGAGGCTGTGCTACTGGACTACAGTAGAGGCTTGCACAAAATGCCAAGGTCATACTGCACAAGCTAGAAACAAACCTGCTTACTGTAGATTGCAGATAGCAGCACAATACTAAAGATTGAGAGTCAAAGATAATCCCCGCAAGGATGCAGAGCTCCATGCACAGTGAATGCACGCCCGACCCTCATACGTGACAAGCTTCACACAACCTCCATTGCTCTGAAAGAAATGCCTGGCAGCAGCAAAACTCTAGGCCACAGACAAAACCAGCTTTCTGGGGCACATGAAATATTATGATAACTGGATAAACACTGTATGGGTCCCTTTTCTGAAAACAAATTCAAATGTCTGTCCGATTTGTAAGGGAAGCTGCCTTTCACAGGCCCCAACCAGAACCGTGATTTCTGGTGAGCATAGCGTGAAATATTCAGTTGAAAAGTTGCTGTTAAAAAAATGTTACATTTATTGTGTAAAAGGGGTAGCCATGCATTTTTCTGGCTTTGACAAGGATAAATGCTTAGATACTAGACAGTCTGGAAAGACTGACCTTGAAATAATTTTACTGTTAGTTTGAATTCATCATTAAACAGCAGTTGCAACAAATTTCTTTGGGGGGGGGGAGGACTAAATCTAAATCATTTTGTATAATGGATGTAGGAATGTTTGAGTAGGGCAAATATTTTTTTTTCCTCCTTGTCTTAATATTTCTTAAGGATGAGCATATTTTTGGAATATGGATTATAATCAATTAAGCCCACTCAAAAATCAATGTGTACAGTATGTAGCAGTACTCATGATCTTTAATCTGCCCATACGAATAAACACTATTCTCTAGTATTGCAAAGTGGAAATTAGGCCAGTTTGAAAACCTGTTTATTCTTGGGCATTGTGAGCTGTCGCCAAAAGAGAAACTCTCGCTTTTGTACTGATGAACTATAGGTTGATTGTTTGTTATATTCAGTAATGATTATTTTTATCCCATCTGTTCAGGTTTTATGAAAGTTGGTATAAAACTATTTGTTCTTAATCTCTCATGCATTTTTTTCTCTCTCACTCAAAGGTTAGCATATCAAAGCTTGTTTGGAAGTGTTTTGAAATGAAAGTCAAGAAGTGCTCTTTGACCTTCTTGATAAACATCCCACCTATAAAATCACAGACAGTTAATATCAGACTTGCTCTGTTATTCATAAAACCTAGGACTTTTTGATAACAGAAACATGCATCAAGGAAGCTTTTGCTAACAAGACAGCTATAAAGCGCCATAAAGTGCTATTCATATTATTTCACTTCCGAGTAAACATGAGCAAGTTGTTAGTATACAGTTGTTGTGCTGTCTTGTTTTATTTAGCAGTATCTCTTCCAGAACATTTCCTCAGAAAAAACAGTTTAAGTCTCGGGCAGCTTCTGCACAGACTTGTTGTACAACGGCTACATGGTTTTTGGGTTTACATTGAAAAATGTAGTCTTGGTAGCCCCAGACTCTCAGGCACTAGTTCAGTCAGTAACCTTAGTGAGAAGCAAAAAGAGCATTAATCTTTCGAAGAACTTCTTATTTGGAACGCAGCACACTGACAGCTGTTTTTTCCAGCCGAAGCTCAGTATGCTGTTGATCTCCAATGCCGAGTCTGAAGCTGGCAGCGACCCTCGGTTTTAGTTTCAGTTCAGAGCCAATAGCAGTACCAGAAAGAAGCGTGCTTTCTTTTTATATTTATAACCTCTGTGCTATTTTTTGCGTGTTTGTTTTTTTCTGTATTACAAAAAAAACACTTTTTCAATGTTTTTGCTCACTAGAGGGGATTTATCTCGGCCTGCGCTCATTCATTTGAAAGATCAGATCGTTTAAACACTTCAGCCTTCAGATATCCCATTAACAGCACGTTAATTCTTAATTCAGAGTACATTTTCTTACAGAAGGTTTTTATATTTATACGTTAAGCACTTACAGATTCATTTTTCTTCATATTCCCTATTATGGTTTTCCAAAGTGGTGTTTATAATATGCGGTACAACCATTCTAGGCTACATTCAGCTCAGTTCAACAATGAACTCTCCTGAGAGACCCACAGTCGCACAGTGTAAACATTTCTTTTGGAGTTTGTTTACTTATTGGAGGATGGACACTGCTCCAGCTGTGGCAGCCACAGGTGCTGGTGTTAAAGGTAACTCTGGGGCAAAACAAAAGCCAGGACTTCTTGCTTGGCTTAGGAGACTATACTTAAAACACAGGTTTGTATATTTGTCATTGTGGCATTAAGTTATTATTCACTGACCTAATACATTCTGGGTTTGGAGCAGTTTGTTTTCAGTTATTTTGCACAACTCATTTGTGAGTCTTCCCCACATTGTGTCATCACTGGGACCACCAGAGTGCTGTAGGAAAGCCTGAATTGAAAAACATTAACACTGAAAAAACTAAGGTTTGTCAAAACCACAACAAAGTTTAATTTTTCTGCTTCTAGGACCATCTTAATGACTACAGCTATGACTGATCTGACTTCTATTTCTTTGCAATCTTCTCAGATTTTCCAATTTTCAGTAATTTTAGATCCAGATTATTGATAGGATTTTTCCTCCCCTTTTCAGTTTTGATCCTAGATTTCACTAAGTCCCTGCAGACACTGACAGATTTATTCTCATGCTCCAGGGATTCTCCGCAGATAAAAGCTTTTTAACCAGTGCGGTAAATAGCTATCTTATTCTTGTAAATAAACTATATTGTCCTGAACCAGATGTCGTTTGACCACAACACCTTCGTTGATTATCCAGAATTAATCAAAGATGTAGGCTACCAACGATGGTGCCCATGGAAAAGCTTTGTGCTTGAAACACACTATTTGCTATTTTCTGCATAATTTAACACCATGATAATCTCAAAATTGCAATTATAACACTTATAATTGTACACGTGTACCCAAAGCACTGATGACCTCACGTGTAACTAGCTGCTTAAAATGTATTTTTTTAATTGTAAATTATAATAAATCTTAAAAATGCTTCTTTTGTGAACAATATGTCCTTGTGATTCTGCCCAATAAGTAGACTGCAGACAGTGTCAAACTAAGTTTTTGATAACAAACACGCAAGAAAGGAAAGTCATCCAGCTGCTGGAAGAGGGGGCCAAGCAGGAACGAGAACTGTAGCTTCTGTTATCCGTCTATAAAGAGAGCTCTGCCAGGGAAAACAGGCAGAG